CGTCTATCTCTTGACCTGCCTGTCGTAAACCAACTTTTGACCTGCTAATAGTAGCATCTATCTTTTGACCAGCCTGTACTATGAGTCCATTTTTTGACAAGCCTGTACTATGAGTCTATTTTTTTACCAGCCTGTACTATGAGTCTATCTTTTGACCAGCCTGTACTATGAGTCTATCTTTTGACCAGCCAGTACTATGAGTCTATCTTTTGACCAGCCTGTACTATGAGTATTTTTTTTGACCAGCCTGTACTATGAGTCTATCTTTTGACCAGCCTGTACTATGAGTCTATTTTTTTACCAGCCTGTACTATGAGTCTATTTTTTTACCAGCCTGTACTATGAGTCTATCTTTTGACCACCCTGTACTATGAGTCTATCTTTTGACCAGCCTGTACTATGAGTCTATCTTTTGACCAGCCTGTACTATGAGTCTATCTTTTGACCAGCCTGTACTATGAGTCCATTTTTTGACAAGCCTGTACTTTGAGTCTATCTTTTGACCAGCCTGTACTATGAGTATTTTTTTTGACCAGCCTGTACTATGAGTCTATCTTTTGACCAGCCTGTACTATGAGTCTATCTTTTGACCAGCCTGTGCTAGGAGTCTATCTTTTGACCAGTCTGTACTATGAGTCTATCTTTTGACCAGCCTGTACTATGAGTCTATCTTTTGACCAGCCAGTACTATGAGTCTATCTTTTGACCAGCCAGTACTATGAGTCTATCTTTTGACCAGCCTGTACTATGAGTCTATCTTTTGACCAGCCTGTACTATGAGTCTATCATTCGACCAGCCTGTACTATGAGTCTATCATTCGACCAGCCTGTACTATGAGTCTATCTTTTGACCAGCCTGTACTATGAGTCCATTCTTTGACAAGCCTGTACTTTGAGTCTATCTTTTGACCAGCCTGTACTATGAGTATTTTTTTTGACCAGCCTGTATTTTGAGTCTATCTTTTGACCAGCCTGTACTATGAGTCTATCTTTTGACCAGCCTGTGCTAGGAGTCTATTTTTTGACCAGTCTGTACTATGAGTCTATCTTTTGACCAGCCTGTACTATGAGTCTATCTTTTGACCAGCCAGTACTATGAGTCTATCTTTTGACCAGCCTGTACTATGAGTCTATCTTTTGACCAGCCTGTACTATGAGTCTATCATTCGACCAGCCTGTGCTAGGAGTCTATCTTTTGACCAGCCTGTACTATGAGTCTATCTTTTGACCAGTCTGTACTATGAGTCTATCTTTTGACCAGCCTGTACTATGAGTCTATCTTTTGACCAGCCTGTACTATGAGTCTATCATTCGACCAGCCTGTACTATGAGTCTATCTTTTGACCAGCCTGTACTATGAGTCTATCTTTTGACCAGCCTGTACTATGAGTCTATCTTTTGACCAGCCTGTACTATGAGTCTATCTTTTGACCAGCCTGTACTATGAGTCTATCTTTTGACCAGCCTGTACTATGAGTCTATCTTTTGACCAGCCAGTACTATGAGTCTATCTTTTGACCAGCCTGTACTATGAGTCTATCTTTTGACCAGCCTGTACTATGAGTCTATCTTTTGACCAGCCTGTACTATGAGTCTATTTTTTTACCAGTCTGTACTATGAGTCTATCTTTTGACCAGCCTGTACTATGAGTCTATCTTTTGACCAGCCTGTACTATGAGTCTATCTTTTGACCAGCCTGTACTATGAGTCTATCTTTTGACCAGCCTGTACTATGAGTCTATCTTTTGACCAGCCTGTACTATGAGTCTATCTTTTGACCAGCCTGTACTATGAGTCTATTTTTTTACCAGCCTGTACTATGAGTCTATTTTTTGACCAGCCTGTACTATGAGTCTATCTTTTGACCAGCCTGTACTATGAGTCTATTTTTGACCAGCCTGTACTATGAGTCTATCTTTTGACCAGCCTGTACTATGAGTCTATTTTTTGACCAGCCTGTACTATGAGTCTATCTTTTGACCAGCCTGTACTATGAGTCTATCTTTTGATCAGCCTGTACTATGAGTCTATTTTTTTACCAGCCTGTACTATGAGTCTATTTTTTGACCAGCCCGTACTATGAGTCTATTTTTTGACCAGCCAGAACTGGAAGTCTATGTTGAACTAGCCAGATTTATAAGAGCCCTGAGTACTAAAAGTCAATGTTTTAACCAGTTCTCTAAGAGTCTATCCACTGACCCTGACCCAGCTCGAATACCTGTTTAACTTCAAAATGTTGATACATAACTTTAAACACTATATCAAACATGTTTCTAAAGGTTTAAATGAGATCTGTAACATGTAAACAATATAGATTGAAGGTGGCACCAGCTTCTGTCCAATGAATGTTGTGGTCAATTGTGGCGGTACATGTACAAGTTTTCAATTCCTGTGAAATGTCTTGGGATCAATGTTGTTACAGTTCTTGTTTATGATGATACCAGCAACTTTATACTTGGCATGTCTTACTTCTTACACACATTTTTATACAGTAAGTAGCAAATGGACAGAACAATTTTCTCTTCATTGATATATTAACCGTTCAAAATTCAGTATTTGACTAGTAATTCTTAATACCTAACTGGCCTCTTCTCACTTTCTATATTATCTGATCAAAATCACAAAAATGTCACAACATACAACATGAAAAAAATCTGATATCACAGTCAGTTTATGATAACATCAGAGGAACCACGAATGAAAATGGCACGAGTTGTTTAGGAAAATCTTTTTAAAGTAAATGGATTAATGAAATACACTTTCAAATGAAGTAATATACACAGTGTATACAACTGATCCATGGAGTTGTTCAGCCTTGAAGTTGATGACCATATCATGTCACATACAGTGAGCTGATGGCAATACAACAAGGTTATGCTGTATAGTTTTTAGAAATTGAGGCAACAAACTTTAAATGTGAAAATCCAAAATGGCCACCACCTCAAATATTTAACAAAGTTCTAATTGTGACATATATGCACATTACTAGGACTTAAACTGAACGGGCCAATAAATATCTTTTGACCAGCCTGTACTATGAGTATATTTAACAAAGTTCTAATTGTGACATATATGCACATTACTAGGACTTAAACTGAACGGGCCAATAAAGATTGAGGAAGTTCTTTCTGCTGAAATAACAGTAACAAGACATTGTTCTCAGGACATCAGTACTGACATTAGGACAGAAATAGGGACCAAAGACAGAAACTGATTTGCAATTAAGTTCTGTGTACCTATCTGTTGATGTTCACTTAGCAAAGGCTTAAAATACAACTTCCCTATTAGTAAGTCTTCCAAAAGTTTTATTTATTGTAAATTTGATTGACAGTTCTCACAGCAAATAACACATCAATATGGCACAGAAACACATGTATACCAGGTAACTGTAATTATACATTTTTATCTAAAAGATAAATTATCAATAAATTCTTAACATTAACAACCCCTAGATAACTGACTTTGGTCACTTGTTAAAATTTCAGTCATCTATAAAGTCACACAAGGGATTGTAGCTAGGTTATTTGGGGTATTTGTGGTCACATGTAGGAATGTAATTTTCACCTTGGTCACTTGTGATGATGTTTCAAACCAAGGAAAATAGTTCAATCTGAACAAACAAACCTTAAAAATATTCATTCAAAATCTTTAAGTATCATGTACAAATTAACCAGCTTGCTTATAACAGCACATGAGGACAACAGAAACTCTAGGTTTAAGGTTTTCATAAATAATTAAAACATTCTGCAATTAATGCCATTTCTAATTTCTAATCATTGGCAAGAGAAATTTCAATCACATGCACACAACTTTATCTTCAAAATTCAAATGTAAATAACTCAGACTAGTAACAACAAAATCAAACACTTGGCTGATTTGGCAATATCTGTGACATTTAAAACTGCAACACTCATATAAACTCCAATAACTATTTAAAATGTTATTCTTCTGTCAATACTTTTACTAACATGACACAATGTATCTGAAAGTAGTCTCTATATAATACTCTGACATATTAAACACACTACAGTGAATCCCTGCAGTCAAAGGGAGATAACTACTTAATCTACATGTATGTTGGCTTCCTATGACAAGAAATGGGACAGTAACAGTATGAATCAACAGATATTTAAACAAAACATCCAATTCATGCCCAGTTTATAATCTTTCTAAAGTTCTTCAGGCTTGGCAACATGCAAGTTTTAATATGTCGCCTAGGATTTTATTTATTTTAACATCAGGACATTTTCAAACGGTACCAAAGCAGTTAAGAATATTGTAGAAGAAAAGACTGGCTAGACAAACTAAACAGTAAGCTTGTTCTCTTTAATCTTTTTTTATTAAAACTGATATACCTATGCCAATTAGCCCCCAAATCAAGCCATTTATGTTGAATAACTCTTACTTGCTTTATATTGCAATAAAAATGATAAATTTTAATCAAAATTTAATGATTTATTTCATGTTTCAAAGTTTTCTGTATGAAACTAATAAAGGTGTATCTTTTATCCACTGAGTTAGTAGTATGTCAACCTGTATCTAAAACTTTTCACTCATAGCTAGAAAAAACATTAAAATCACAAATAACCAGCTCATGTATCTATCTTATTGATGTTGTCTGCCATTTTGTTACCTCTTGAAAGGCTTGAGCAATAAATATCTGCATTTTTAAAAGTATATATCATTTGTAGTCATACTACATAAACAGTCCTTTTTGACTGTACCAGTGAGCCAGTTTTTGTAAAATAGATGATTTAAATGATAAAATCAAACTTAAGAAATTGTACCACATCTCCAATCCAATAAATATCAAGGCTAATCATTTCATTATGAGAAAAAATTGTTGCTGTTTCAATTACAGGTAAATGACAAAAAAATACATATAAAACAATATTTCTGTTTACTCCAACTGTTGTCTTTTCAAAATATATATCAGTAGGTACTTTGTGAAATTTTTCATAATTTGCAAGCAGCCGAAAAAAAAAAAAGGCCAGAAAAATTAGCAAGTTCGTTTAGGGGGATCCTTGTCCTCGTACTTAATGTTTTCCTCATGCTGCTCTTTCAGGGTTGACAAGAGATCAGAACTGAGTAGCTCACAGTCATCCTGAGTAAAAGTAAAGTCCAAGCTAAACTTTGTGGTCGGTATGGATAAAATATCCTTAGTCACATTAAACATAGCATCTACTTTAGCACTTGGATCTGTTGAAAAATTACAAAATACATTTACAGAATTCTGAATTCTGGTAAATACTTGCACTTCTTGATTAAATGTTTTCCCCTGATATATGACCTTTTCCCAAAAGGATTCATTAAAGAAATTGTACATTTGATAATCTGCTCGACTCCATCTTTCATGAATGGCACGATCTCCATCATTCTCCTCATACTTATATTTTGCAGAATTCACTCGTTTATAGATAATGTCCTTCATGGTCCAACACATCATTCGTTTAAGAAGAACCAAAGACTCATGGAAATACTCAGCAATCATGATAAGTGCAAACTCATTTTCTGTCCAGTTTAGAAAATCTTGCACAGCTCTAGTATTTTTGCTGATGTCTGCAGTACCCTCTGGAAATCCTGTTTTCATGCCTAGGCAGTGACACATAAGATTTTTGGTCACTGAAAAACCATCGGGGATGCAGTACCTGTATGAAGCCGCTTCAGGGCTTTTATAGATCTTCTCATAGGTGTTTATGTCCTGTAAGTACGTCGAGAGTGGAGTGTCAGACACAATATGTGCCAATTTCTGCATGTTAAAGTAATTGAAAGTTGACTTGAAATGTGACCACGGTTCTCTTATGATAGATATAAACCTTGTCTGGTGTGGAAATAAGGCTTTCATAACTGATGCATTGTAAATTGCATGTTCAATCAGGCAGTTGTAATACCTATATCCACTTGGGCTACTTGAAGGTCGGTAGTCAGAACTTTCCATCATGTATGGCCATCCGAGATAAATGTTTAGCCCTCGAGGTAGTAAAACACTCAATTTGTTTTTCAAAGCAAACCTGCGTAAAATGGTACCCATTGTTTCTGTTGCACATTTCATGCATTTTATGAAAACAAAATTGCGTACTTGACAGTCACGATTGTTGATCAGTTCCGGAGGTCTGTTATCAAACACTTTTTTCGCTTCATCCTTTAAACTTTCTAATTTGATCACTTCCTCCACGTTGCCTGATTCTACATCCTTTTGAACTGTTTCACCTTCTTCAATTCCTTCTCTACCATCATTGAAAGTGTCCTCAGCTTCGAGAACTACTGTAAGGTGTAGAATCAAAACTGCAAGGATGACACACATGCAGAAAAGGACAGCCAGTGGTAAAACTTTGTAGGAACAGAGACGTCTGGATGTTCTACTTAACCTAGCCATTCCATTACATGTACATTGTACATAGAAGGCATGTAGATCTTTATACAGTGACATGGTAAATGTATCTTCAGATATTGCAAGGATTTCTAAAATCAAGTGTCAGTGTTATCTCCAAGTTCAATGCATTTCTATCAAAAGACTGAATTTTTTATCAGTGTCATCAGCCTTAATCAGCTTTGAGTTAAGTTCATACATTTCAGATTTGTGGTTTTCCATATATGGTATGATGAATCACATTAATTCTGTCTTAATTCAAGGTATCTGTACCTAAATATTTGATACATGCCTATACCTCACAAGTCTGATTACTACTGCTCCTCTCAAGTACATGCATTGATTACAGGGCACATATCCTGTAGAGACATCAGTCACAGCTGATAGTCAGGTAACATGTGTATGGTTTACATTGAATCACTGCCATATATGCAGGTAAAGCAAGCTGTGAAATTTAACATTGATCCGAACAAACCGTAAGTTCACAAACAATGGACAGGTAACCAGAATACTACTGTCTCATCAGTCATGGTGACAGTCTCTTCAGTGTGTGAGGATAATAGAGTCAGTGATATTATTGGGATTGTGATCACATCCTTATCTCTGTACGTATACCTGTAATGTCTACCAAAACTGAACAGTGTTCCTTCAGGTAAAATCTCCAAGGTATGAAGAAACATGTATTGATAAGGAAATTCTCCACCTTGTCACAGCAAGCACATGTACATTGTCAATAATCTAGTACACATACACAACACAGTTGTCTACTTTCATTTTCCCACTTGACCTAGACCTGTCTAGTACTTCCTCTCAACTGTACACATACAATTTACCTGTGCTAATGGCTGTGTAAAATGTCAGTAGCATTGTGGGTAACTAGACCTAGCTGTATTTACTGTGTAAGGTCACAGAGTGACTGTTGGTACGTCACAGTCGATAACAATCAGTAACTTTACACCAGTATTCTGTTAATACTATATTACAACACCCAGTTTAATTCTTATACATCTAGACATTCATATACACAACACAGGTTACACAGAAGTGTATATTACCAAATCATGATTTATTTTATTTTGATGTTAGTTTTCTTCACCGACAGACTGTATGACAGACACTGGTGTTTTACAAGTAAATCATTTTGACCATTTAAGGAGAAGTGATTAACGATATCAGAGGTTAACTACAGGAGTGATTTATCTCACACTTATACCAGTATTTGATACTGATATATAATGATTTACAGATTAACTGGTTACACCTGGAAAACACCACCAAAACTGGCACTGGATACCTTAGGCTAACAAACTGCCTCCTAAAACAACAAACAGACTGGCATTTGACAACATTTAAATGGGAATTTTGGAAAAAACAGAAAGGATACAGGAACAAAAGGACAATAAAGATCCAAACAATGGTGGGAAAAAATGAAAAATGAATTTGGAGAAAGCTTTTTTTTATCAAAAAATTACAATTCATGGAATGTTTAGATTTTCAGAGAATCATATTTACATGTTAACATAATCGTTATGTAAAAGTTTCAAGAAAATCTAGCAGTTTAATTAAGGTTGAGACTCCTTGATAGTGTTGAACAGCTATCAATAGTCTTCCAAATAGTGATTTTCTTTGTATGTTTGGATAATATCTAGAAATATGAATCACCACCATGTACCACTAGGAATTTTTTTTCCATGATTTTAGGAAATGCATGATTTGAATTGATATGTGTAGGGGCAGAACCATCCATATTGTAGAATCATTCAGTGGAAAGCAACTACTTCCATGATAAGGGTCAAAGGTCAAGGTTACCACACCTGCTTAAGAGGTGTGATTTCCATACTTAAGATCAGAAGTCAATGTAAATTAAAGTCACAACAACCTATTTTTGTTACAAATCACACCACCACGTTTCTTTACTATGAAACATCCCAGATACACTGTAATCCAAAGTGGCATTCCTGAGGTCAAGGGTCAAAGTCAAGGTTGCAACAACCTTATTTTACCAAATGCAACACTGTGCTATAGACATTCATATACAATGTGCAACATTATTATCAATAACTGATAGCACAATTAAAGATCAAATCGTTTAAGGAATACAGCTCTAACATGGTCTTTTACTGAATGAGGACATGTGTTACAAACATTTAGTTTATACCCTGAGTTCCAAGAGAGTTGACTTAAACCCTAGCTATCACACAGTATTACACCATTTGACCTGTGATGTAAACTACAGTATAACAGAAATAGGTGAAGTGGACAGAACCAAATGAAATATTTGACTTATCCGACAGTTTGACTTTGCTGGGTTTCCATGAATGCAGACATGAATAAAGGTTGACCTTAATTTCATTGGTTGTATTCTGGATATAGGTCTCACAACATGGCTTGACCTTAATGAATAAGTAATAGATAGATAAGAATATTTTCTATTTTAATATCACAACAATATCCTTTATACAAATAAATACGAAGAACAGAAAATGTAATGAGAAACACTTGTTATTGCTGCACACACATTTGAATATGCATCCTCTCTCAAACACATAACTTAATGAAATTGATACCTAAAGTAATATTGTACTTGTACACTTATATCCTTAAGAGTAACAAGTCCCACCAACAATATTTAAATATAAAATGAAATAAATATGTACTCATAAACATTCTACAGTGATGAAACATCTATAGCACTGACTTTGGTTACAAAAGGTGAACTGGTAATTTTTTCATCTGCTAGAACACAGTAGATCTACATATAAAAAGACAACAGTGTGTTCTTTTTCAAGTCTGGAAGCCATAAAATTTATATGCAAGACAAGGTGACACCTAAACATTTGATACAAAAAAGGAAATTTTGGTAGAATTTAGAAGGGATGGACCACAAACTATATTTGACACAAATGAAGTATTCAATCAAAAGCATCCAAATCATTTGTGTTTAATTTACAAAGACAAAGAAGAGCAAAAATATGGACTGAACAAAAAACTGCAAGAAAATACCAACATGGCAACATAATTATAATTCAAACTCAAATTCCATAAAACTAGGGCAAAATATGAACAAAAGAATGATTTACATGGAGACTTCTGAAAAAGTACCAGGATACTAAGACCAGGTGTTCTGGAAGAGTAAGCATCTTCTGCTTCATCAATGACACCTGCCATGTAAACCTTGGTCAACACGGTATTGAGAACAAGGTATACTACAAAAGAACCAACAGTCAAGCTACCAAGTATCAAATAGTACAGCTTCATGTCACACAAAGAAATAGAATATTTCTCAGTTAGATCACTGTGGCGACCATAAAACTTCCCCATAATTTTCATTATTCAACTCACCTGATGTTTTGGATTCAAGCATGTTCAACACCAGTGAATTGTACTGTAGCTAAAACAAATGTTTAATGTTACTTACCTTGCTGGGTGTGACATTAGGATCCTCCACATCTAGGCTATTGTACTTGTGTTGAGGGTATAGGGGTTTGGAGCGACGACCATATCGCTTACCATCTTTAATGTACACAGGAGTGACCTCATCAGACATGTCTGGAAAATGATGGAAACGGTGCTTTACAAGTGTCAAACATGCATAACTCATTAAAAAGAAAGTTCAGTCTCAAGGAAATGTCTTAATTATCAAGCAAGAACAAGATCTTTGGGATAAAAGTCATGCAGGCAATCCTGAAAATTAGGGCTGGTGTCACCTCAGGATAAACGCACGTCACTAGTGTAAGTTTTGTCTTGATTTGTCACTTTGCATTCATAAAAAGAAGCAATTACAGGATTTTCACAACGGTGACCATTCGTGGAAGTCCTCTCTCCATACCATATTTTCTTTCATGCAAAGCAATTTTTATAAGATTAATGTGGCTATGGTGGCCATCTTGAATGCAACACAGGTCTGGAATTCCGTTTGGACTGACTGTGAACCATACAAAACCTAACTGTGGAAGTCCTATCTTGATAAAGCAGATAAGGATTTCCTATCAGGAAAAGCAGAAATAGCAAGATTTTTAAGCTGGCCATTGTGGTGGCCATCTTAAATGTCACATTTGAATGCAAATAACTCATACCCTACTACATGTATGGACTTACTCACAAGTGGAGGTCTTGATTCTGTTATCAATCAAGCAAAGGAGAATGACGTTTTTTACAAACAAATGGATGGATAATGGACACCAGATAAATGACAATATGCCACAACACAAGCTCTTCTGGACTTCGAACGGTGAGCAAAAACATCTTGTTGGAATAATCCACTAGGACCCATAAAACTTATAATATCAGAAAGATTTCCCTTTATATGTAATCAACAAACTGATGCTTAGCATAAAAAAATCCCCTACAATAAATGTTCATGTACTCTGGATGAAATACTTATCAATATTGAATTTCATAATGATTTATAAAATTGATTTTGCTACGAAGAAGTCCAAACTTATAGTCTGATCAAGTCCACTACTATCTTCTTTAAAAGTCCATCATTAGGCACACATTGGTAGCAGTGCTCACTAGTGACTATACTAGGAAAACTATTAACACAACTAGAGGTGTGAGGGATATAATATGATAATTCTGATGCCTTTCGATCAGAGACATCTGCAATGTTTAGGAAATTGCATAAATCTATAACTTCTTTTCAAACATTGCACTGAATCTCTGGACAGATTTTGTAACCCATTGACATTATACTTTCTGACCAGTAATCATTACCTGGTTCATTGCTAACTCGTTCAGTGGCCCGATTCAATCTCAATTAAAAATAAGTACTATTGTATATAATATTCGCATTCGATATAAGTTACACACGTAGATTCAGAAATGTTTTTAATGGTTCCTATGGCAAGTAGCTGTCCTACAGGAAGATAAGTGAAGGAATTAATAACATTATCAGTGACTTGTCAAAGATTACGAGTAGTTTCAATAAGTCATTCATTCATATCTTTGTTCCTCCAAATTTGAAGAATTATGAACAACATTGAGAAAACAAATAGTTACATAGGAAGAAACATAAAAGACATAGATAAATGTTCATTAAGAACAAAAGTATATGGAATTAAGTATGAAACATAATATATGTATAATGTTCACAGCCATACACAGAAATACTACAGAATATACAAAACAAGTAAAGAAAAGAGAATCAAATTCCCAGAATTAACCAGATATATAACATGTATTTGGCCTCTATGTCTACAAAGACATGCCCTTAACTAAATGCGAGGAAGGAGGCTTTTTCAGCAATAATGCAACAATCCCTTGAAAATGAGACAAAAAGATAATCCTCATTTTTAAACATGTCTTTTATGATGGCAGGTGGACTGTCATGGATGCCGGTAATTTGAATCTCTCTACATGATTTAACAAGAAAAACATACACCTGGACTGGATAATCGTCAACTGTTTTGGTAAAAATTTTCATGTACATTGAATAACATAGGACTTAAAGATTCTACACTACAGTGAGCAACTGCGTCTGCCACAAATACATTGCATTGAGAACATGCTAGTTCATAATTAGGTGAAAGATTCAATAGCTTTGCAACATTTTTACAAAAATATGGGAAACATTTAGCAAGGCACCTTATATGCAAGATATACCTATTTCTACCAGGAACTGTAACCAAACTGCCCAAATATCAATTCCTATTTCCAAAGTATAAAGACATATACACTACAATTAATAAGTAATAAAATTGTTGGTATCATCGTGGAGATGCATGCAGCTCACCTGAATCAGAGTTATTTCCCTTGAGCGTTGTCCCATCATGTTCAGTGTTGCGATTGCCCTGATGTGATTCTTGGTTAATCTTTGCTGCAGTCTGACACAATATTTGGACAAATGTGTTCTTAAACTGCTCAAATGTTACCTGTAGACGAATTGTTTTACATCATTATTAATGGTTATATATCATTGTATCCACAAATGTGTTCATTCTACATCAGATCAACTTCCACATTTTCCTGTGAACCAATCATTTTTTCCATTGTAAAACATTGAAATTATTCTCAGCATATATTTGTGTCTTGGAATATGATCATGTATTTTTTTGTTTTCATACTTTTAACTTAATAAATAAACAAAAGAAAGCAGTGTAATTATGAAGCAAAGATTTTTGAATTCCATTTCATCAGGCTTTAAGCATAATCATTGGTGAATATAATATCTTTAATGAAGTCGGGGTTTAAGATTATACATTCAAATTAAGGGTTTCACCTTGCCCCAATATACAAGACTTAACACCACCATAGCCTTGTTACTTTTTGCGAACTGAATGATCTTCATACTTTGAGAAGTTGAAAGAATGTGTTAGTTTTGAGCACCATCTGATCATACAATAGTAATAGACCCACACTGAGTTTGATATGGTTAATCTATTTGAAACATTTTTAGAACCTGTACTTGTGGAGAGTTATAACCCCTTTAAGCCAAAATCCGTTTTGTTTTTTCTGATCACACCAAAATCATATGGGAGCAAAGAGGGACCAAGGGACCCCTACACATGAAATTTGAGGAAGATCTATGTGTTAATTCTCTAGAAATAGGGATAACAAACTATTCTCGGTGAAATCAGAGATGGTCACCTGTTGGCAAATTTGTTTTTCTGTTCAGTCCCAAAATCAAACGGGCTAACCTAACGACCAAGGGGAACCTACATATGAAATTTGAGAAAGATTCATCCAGTACTTCTCAAGAAATAGCAATAACAATAACGGATGGATGACAGACCACAGCTGAAGAGCGATTTGAACAGCCCACCATCTGACAATGGTATATCAGCAAAATGGTACACGAAAAGTCTGCCATGATCAAACAATGACCAGATTTGTAAGTAGATTCTTGACATATGAATTTGTCTTAGCAGTATGGTAGTTGATTCTTAAAGGATTGAGATTTTTATAAAAACTATTCATGTGTGGAAATGGCTTACCCAAGACTTTTTCAATGATACAAGGCTTTGCAAATGATACAAATTGCAATACATTTCATCCTAGACTGATGCACAAAAAGATGGCTAAGTGCATGCAGTTTGATAAAGGTTATGTTGTTTAAAAGTGTTAGCATGGGTTTTCTACATTGACCCTACAACTTCAAATCTTGAACTCATCCAAGATGAATCTTGTTAATTGTGTGTGTGAAGTTATATCGAAATCCCTCACAGAATGGACTCCACAAAAAGCACTGTGAGGTTTGCATCTAAAGTTACGTATGGTCAACATCCACATCCCCTCCCCACACCCCCATCCCCACACCCCCATCCCCCACACCCCCATCCCCACACCCCCATCCCCACACCCCCATCCCCGCACCCTCCCCCCAACCAATTTCAATGGTGAGGTGATAATAATAATTTTATTGTTTATCAAATGACCTTGTCTTATATTCATCAAGAAAGGCCCCAGCTATATATCCTAAAATTATAAATGTTGGCTAATGATTACTAAAGTGTACACTGTTTGAATCCATAAATACAATGACTCTAGATATTGAGGAGGAATAGTGACTGTCTACCTCTTACATTGAAATGATAAAATGGATAATTCAGGACAATTCCTTTGCATACTTTTAACTAGTTTGAAGTTATTTTTAGTATTTAGAAATATTTTCAAAAATAGTGACATAATATTTGTTATCAGTACTATGACAATTGTTCTATTGAAAAAGTCATTTATACATTTTTATAGGGAATTTATTTTCCGAGTTTGTAATATAATAGAGGATATACATGTATGTTCTCATTTTAACACTTCCTGTCACATATTTTCATGCTATTTTTGCATTTTTTTAAAATCAAATTCATAGGCCAGATAAACAGCCCTTAATTAGCAATCAATCTTATTTGTTACAACTTTCTCAACTCAAGTAGTAAACTGCTGTGTTCATCATATTGAAAACATTGAGTCTATGTAGGCACCGTTCTGTTCCATATTGGTACAACCTTACCTTAACCATGTGCTTCATTTTATCATACTACACCAAAACAGTGTGTGTAATGACTGCCCACTTCAAATTGCTTACCATATGGAATTGACATGAAAACGAATTCAAACACTGAATCAGACAAATGTTTCAATTGTAATTTTAATTGAATTAACATCCCTTATATCATGGTAATTGCATGCAATCATGCTCCCTCCAATGCTTGATGCCAATATTGGTTCAATCTCTTCAACAATACAAAACAGTGCAAGTAATCTCATTTCTTGTATCTGTGTAAGGCCCAGTTCTCAGCCCCCATTGTTGGACCACATTCATTATTTAAAAAAAATACATAAATATAAACAGTATTTATTTTAGAACAATTGTGAAACAAGCTATAGCTTGTAGTAATCACTATTGTTGGCCCGAATGTAAGCACACGGTGGATATTACTGTGGGAGGATACCAGAGTAACAGGGGAAAACCCATGTGGTCAAGCAGGTGACCTTTTCACATCCATTTCGGGTATCAAACCCGGGACAGCTAGGTGAAAGGCGAGTGTGTTACCACTGCACCACCCGACCATCTATTATTTGATTCTCTGTCATAAAGATGGTAAAATTTAGTTAAAATCTCTCCAGCTGTTTCAGACTAGTAGACTTAAAAATGAAAAATAGATTAAAATGACTTGCAAACAGGTAGTGTATTGATTGAAATATTTAATTTGTTAGTACTGTAAAAGGCATTATATACATGAAAGTTCATCTAATAATGAATGTGTGTTAGACATTTACAATAATAGTGTCCACTAAATTTTCTAATTAGAAAGTTTCAGGATACAACAATGTATGATTTAGTCCTTCAATCGTACAGATAAGAGACTAGAAATATATAAAGCAGTAGGGTGATTTAGAGGCCATTGTAACCAAAGAGGAAGATGATTCCAAGCTATAAGAAGATGTTGGTAAACAGACCAGCAGTACCATACAACAAAAAAAGCATAAGTATACCTGAATGATATACATATAGGAGACAATAGTACTATGAATTTACCTTTTTGTTAGCATTTCTCCTCTGAAAGACAATTTAATAACTAAAGGTGTTTTTCCCCATTTTCTTTTCTATTTTCTATTGACTGTCGTTTAAGGTATTTCTACTGGCAATAATCATTGTGTCCATTCTTCAAAGATTTAACTAGGAAACAATCAATTACAAGTTTGTGAAAACATACTAGATAATTCATTCAAGGCGGTATACATTTTTTATCATATGTATAAAAAAAATTGTGTTTATAGTAATATAATCCACACATGTTAAGGTATACAATAACATAATAAACATGTTAATATATTGCATACACAAATCAAAATATCACTGATTGATTGGTGAACATTAAGCGATCCTACTCCAGCTAGAAAGCTATTTAAATTTCCACATTGAAGGTCAATAAAGATAAGCTGAGGTAACCTACATACAAAGTACCAAGATTGCATTTCATAGCAAAATAGGTTGATTGCATGAGATCAAAGGTCAAAAGTGGTCACAATGACCTTTGCATGCAACAATATTCCTTTTTGTATTATACACATAAAAGATATTTAAAAGTTTCCCAATGAAAATCATAGAGTGCTTCAAAAAATGAATGGATATCAATATTTTTCATAAGTGCAAAACATGAATGAAAATACATATATTCCTGCATTCTGAAAATACTATTTCTTACTGTTAAGGCCCCGATATTCTGTAGCAGCTGGTCTACGATATTGTCTGCCTGGTCTGATAACTGTAACTTCTGACACAGGACTATGAGTTCATTACGATTCAGGTAGCCCTTCTCCCAGGTGTCACAGCTGTCAAACACTTCCCTCAGCTGTGAGATGTAGAGATCTGTGTCTTCAAGGTCAACCTCAGCTGTTTCCATAGTTACATATCATCTGCAACTGATAGAGGTCATTGTCTTCAAGGTCAATATCAGCTGTTCTAAGGGTTATATAACATCTTAAATTAATAGAGGTCTTTGTCTTCCAGGTAAATCTCAGTTGTTTCCATAGTTACATGTACATATCAATTGTAATTGATAGAGGTCATTGTCTTCAAGGTCAATCTCAGCTATTTCCATGGTTACATTAATCATCTTCAAACTCAGACATTTCCATGGTTACGAATTGTTTGTAATTGATGGAGGTCAATATCTTTAAGGTCATTTTAGTTACAGTTCTCAACATCTACATCCTATTGGGGTCAGTGCCTACCAGGTCAACCTAAGGCTATTCTCAGGTCAATAACATCATTAAGAATATTGCATCTAAATTCAATATCATGATAAGTCATTCCAGGACAGAAAACTTAACTGTGTAACAGCACCACAGCATGTGATATTCAACCCAGTTACATATATACACATAAAAAATGTACTTTTCAGACATTCAAATTTCTTCAAGTTGTTGGTACAGGTTTAAGTTACATTCCTTTCCAACTCACCTAAAGACAATGTAAATGCCTGACCAACATTCTGTAGTAAGCTGCTCAGTGTCACCATTGTGATCACTTACCACATCCCTCAGTTCCTCAAATGTTTACCACACATACACTGTACCACCATCATGGCACCCAGTAAACCACAACCACATATACTGACAGAAAGATTTCCAAAACATTTTCTGACTTTTTAAGTGTAGCAAACTCTGGAATCTAGACTTTATAGACTTGATGTTAACCCTGGAACACCTGTGTCCTGTCATCATGTCCTCCTACCATCATAACAATCTCTACAGTAGGGGAAACCACAAATCAATAACTAACAAATACACAGGACAAAACATCCTTTATCCTCTTCTGAAACGGAGCAATCTCCACGTGGAAAACTAAAGCTCCAGAGACAATGATCAATAAGACATACTATCACTTCATCAACATTAAGGTATCTTGTTCCATCACTTCATCGCAACAGGGATAAAATAATAGACTTTTAGATGAAGAATTTAAGCTCAAAGAGGACAGAATACTCTGCAGCAACACAGACATATATAAGCGGTACATTGTAAATTAACTAACACACAAAATTGGCAAATCATACACTAGAACATTTGAATAGTCTGAATGTTGTATGTACAGGTGTAGCATGATATTGTGAAGCATGGTGAAATGAACCAGGGTCAAAATACCATAATGGTGAATTGAACATTAAATCCCCACCCCCCTCATGGCAAAGAGAAGCCACTTTATATGTTGTTTTCAAATTGATGTTTCTTCACTTAATATTTTATCAGTTTCATTTATCATGTTCCTCCATACATGATAAAACAAACAAAAAATAACAAGGGTCAGGATATTGATGGTGGAGCAGGAGGTTTCACTTAATCATTATGGTTTATTTCACCATGGCCTTCACTTTATCATACTACACTGGTAACAGTACAGACTGTGACTACAGAATCAGCATTGATTGATCCACATGGATGTGGATACAGTATTCATGTCACATGGACAGGTTGATCCACAGGGATGTGGACACAGTATTCATGTCACATGGACAGGTTGATCCACAGGGATGTGGACACAGTATTCATGTCACATGGACAGGTTGATCCACAGAGATGTGGATACAGTATTCATGTCACATGGACAGGTTGATCCACAGGGATGTGGACACAGTATTCATGTCACATGGACAGGTTGATCCACAAGGATGTGGACACAGTATTCATGTCACATGGACAGGTTGATCCACAGAGATGTGGATACAGTATTCATGTCACATGGACAGGTTGATCCACAGGGATGTGGACACAGTATTCATGTCACATGGACAGGTTGATCCACAGAGATGTGGATACAGTATTCATGTCACATGGACAGGTTGATCCACAGAGATGTGGATACAGTATTCGTGTCACATGGACAGGTTGATCCACAGGGATGTGGATACAGTATTCGTGTCACATGGACAGGTTGATCCACAGGGATGTGGATACAGTATTCATGTCACATGGACAGGTTGATCCACAGGGATGTGGATACAGTATTCATGTCACATGGACAGGTTGATCCACAGGGATGTGGATACAGTATTCATGTCACATGGACAGGTTGATCCACACGGATGTGGATACAGTATTAATTTTAAGTGTTCAGGTAAATCCACAGGGATGTGGATACAGTATTCATGTCACATGGACAGGTTGATCCACAAGGATGTAGATACAGTGCATATACCCCTGGCAAGTGTACAGGCATGTGTTTCCAGGGCTAACCATTACATGAATTCCTTTGAAACATTTGAAACAGTGTCAGGTCAATTCTCTACAAAACATTCAGTTGATTAATGACATACTGGCCTTAACTTGTCACTGGACACTTTATTTACAAGGAATTTGAACTGCTGTCTATTACCCTGCTGACTGACCTGATCTGGTCAGAATACTGTCTGTTGTTCTGCTTACTTACCTAATCTGGTTATACAGCTGTATGTTGCCCTGTTTACTTATCTCATCTGGTCAAATTGTTGTCTGTTGCCTACTTACCTGGTCAGAGTGCTGTGTGTTGCAATGCCCAAATACTTGATCTTGTCAGACTGCCATCAGTTGCCCTGTCTACTTACCTGATAAGGACAGACTGTTGTCTGGAGCCCTGTCTACTTACCTGATCAGGACAGACTGTTGTCTGGAGCCCTGCCTATTTACCTGATCAGGACAGACTGTTGTCTGGAGCCCTGTCTACTTACCTGATCAGGACAGACTGTTGTCTGGAGCCCTGTCAATTTACCTGATCAGGACATACTATTGTCTGGAGCCCTGTCTACTTACCTGATCAGGACAGACTGCTGTCTGGAGCCCTGTCTACTTACCTGATCAGGACAGACTGTTGTATGGAGCCCTGTCTACTTACCTGATCAGGACAGACTGTTGTCTGGAGCCCTGTCTACTTACCTGATGAGGACAGACTGTTGTCTGGTGCCCTGTCTACTAACCTGATCAGGACAGACTGCTGTCTAGAGCCCTGTCTACTAACCTGATCAGGACAGACTGCTGTCTAGAGCCCTGTCTACTTACCTGATCAGGACAGACTGTTGTCTAGAGCCCTGTCTACTTACCTGATCAGGACAGACTGCTGTCTAGAGCCCTGTCTACTTACCTGATAAGGACAAATTGTTGTCTGGAGCCCTGTCTACTTACCTGATGAGGACAGACTGTTGTCTGGAGCCCTGTCTACTTACCTGATCATGACAGACTGTTGTCTAGAGCCCTGTCTACTTACCTGATCAGGACAGACTGTTGTCTGCAGCCCTGTCTACTTACCTGATCAGGACAGACTGCTGTCTGGAGCCCTGTCTACATACCTGATCTGATCAGACTGTTGTCTGGAGAGCTGTCTACTTACCTGATCAGGACAGACTGCTGTCTGGAGCCCTGTCTACATTCAACTTTACTTCCCCTGAGCATCTTGTATCTGAAATATGAAGGAAAAAAATGAAAATTACATTATTTTAATAATTATTCTATTTCCGGATATCTGAACTGAATCTTTCATAAGTAATCCTAATCCCATCATTTTAATACAAAGAACTGCAAAGGGAATTAGAGGACTTTAGTGAAATGTGCTGATTTTCTGTACACCAGGTTTCCTGTTCTTCCTGGTATACCATCGGTATTTGTTCTGTTGATACCAATAAAGAGGTACATCTTCAGCTGCCATATATTGTAAGTAATGATATCACACAGGTTGTTGGACCAGTAAGGACATTTGTGTGTTCTAGTTTGTGGTCAAGTGCTCGTGACAGCTGACTCAGTGGATCCAGCCCTTCACAGGAATTCTATTGGTTGTGTCATTAATCATCCCAGGTGTTACAACAAGATTATCAAACAACTGAAATTGGGATTGTTGTCGATTCTTTAGTTTAAGAAATCTTATTAATTTTGTAAGGTTTTGATTACAATTAATACACAGCTCTGTATCAAACGCTAGAAGTTAAGTGTCTGGTTTGTGACTAACGTGCTTCATGTATTGGTCATGTAAGTAATAAGTCCATATACATTAATATCAGCTTCTTCAGTAGCAAAATTCATATAGAAAGGCACAAAGTTTCAAAATTTATTTGACAAACTTGGGATAGTGGAAAGCTTTTGTATATATTTGAAAAAAATTTAATCTGGTATTAGTGATTTTAACTTTTACATATATACTGAGTATGTCCTTAAAAACTGCGCAAAATCTGTGAGACACAAAGTTTTTCACCAAACACAACAACTATAAAAACACCTACCAATAGACTTCCCATATGTGTACAATTTATGTATACTAATGTATTCGCCAGTTAAAACTATTGTATTTACTTAATACAGCACCAGATGTGTGGTTATTACACGTTCTGTCAAACTGTACACTTTTGGTATAGGAGAAACACCAAAACTTGTGGAAAAGTCAAGATAGTGGAGAGTTTGAGGTCTGTTGAGGTGTTTTTTATACTTAAAACATGGCAACATATAAACTCCTCTTCCCAACTATTACACAGGTATTCAGAGATTTTCCTAACTATTCCATTGGTCCAGGTAAGCCGTTACCTGTAACCCTCTGAGACCTATTCCCTATAAAGAGCATGCATCATGATTTAATGCTAACACTTCCCTAGCAAGGTGTATATGTACTCGGTTTATTCCACACTAGTATGTAAATCCCAGTAGCAAGTCGATCAAACACCACAGTAATCAATGACCTTCAGGGGAAATCTTAACAAGACTTTTGTAGGCAGCAGCAGTTATCATGCACATTTTACATAAAATTATCTATTGTCATGTTAATTTGAGAAATAAATCTCACAGACTGAGAGAAATCTAATATACACTTGGCAATGGATATGTTTTACTCAATGAGTTTTTATTATAGCTCTGAATAAGTAGTATGTAGGGATAAAATCCTTTGGAT